TTGTAAATTTTGGTCAATGACATGAGACAAAGTATATGTGAACTGCTGTATGAAAAGTGAATTTACTCTGTAAATTTTCACCCAAATCCTAATAAAAAATAAATAAATAAATAAACATAAATTCTTTGGAAAGTAATCCTTTAAGTATAGTATAATGGATCAAGAGACTTTTATAAAGCAAATATTTCCTCGTAGATTCCCTAACCGTTCTAGACAAATGAGAGTTGTGGTAGCACGCTGGCTTCAGCAGGATACAACTATATGTCCATTATATTAGTATCAAAAACTTACAGAGAATGAGAAACAACACTGAATGGACTGCTTTTCTTTTTTAACTTTAGAGTGCAATTAATTAAGGTAATAGACTTGTCTTACTTATCTGTTTCCCTAGGACTTAGTACAGAGGCTGGCATACAACAGGCACTTAATAACCATATGCAGAATGAATAAAAGAAAAATCAACTTTACAATAAAAAAAACTCACCAAATGATTCAAAGATGCAAGTTCCTGACCTAGTAAGAAAAAAAAAATGCAAACAAGTGTTAGCTATTGTCCATTACATACAAAGAAACCTAAGTGAAAATTTTCATAGTTTAAATGTGAAAGAGATACTCAAATTCCTTGGGAAAGGCAAAGTGTATACTGTCACTTATTCTAAAAGTTATCATAGCTAGTCCCTAATAAAAACCACCAAGTATTTTTTCTCATAAAAAGATTTTATACCTATTACATTAGCCTCATAGAATCTCAAAATGTTTGAACTAAAAATAACTACAGTTATCTTTAATATCTTTACAGAAGGGAAAATGAAGGCCCAGAGTGGAAGTATTTGTCTCATAATGAACCAGGGGCAAAGCTAGGACTATAAATGAAAAGTAAAAAGGTCAAAATCTGAGAATATCTATGGCTGACAACTGTGACTTACCGATGAAAAAACTGATATAATCTTTTTTTAGCTTGTCCAAACCAATTTCCAAAAGCATCTGAACTGGAATAGTCCCACTGAGAGAAACTGCGTCCATGGTTCCATGATAAGACTGATGAATTAGCTTACTTAGTAAACTCCTACTCCCACTATGGAGCTAGAAATGAAGAAAATATTATAAAACTAAAACTATATATAAACCCAACAAGCAAAATGGAAGTAAATTACATTAATGACAAGCTAAAAATTATAAGCTTGCATTCTTAGTCTCCTAACACTATGAATTGTTTGAATAAATGCCCCAAAGTTACAAAAGTCAGTTTCTAAAAACGTCATTCCTAACCTTATTTGTTTGTGAAGCCAAAAGCAACTAGGAGTTTAAACTTAACACCCCTAGATTGAGTGGCACAAACAGTTAAGCACTTGACTATTGGCTGAAAGTTTGGCATTTCAAACCCACCCAGGGGCACCTCAGAAGATAAGCCTGGCAATTTGCTTCCAAAAGGTAAAGTTTTGAAAACCCTATGGAACAGTTCTACTCGGTATGCATGGGATCGCTGTGAGTCAGAACTGACTGCTGTTGCATGCCAGTGACTTGGTTTTAACTCACAACAACCCCTGTGACAGAGCAGAACTGACCCATCAGGTTTTCTTGGCTATAATCTTTACAGAAGCTAATCTCTAGGTCTTTCTCCCACAGCACCATCGGGTGCTTAAGCCTTGCACCACTAGGGCTCCTTTCGAAACAAGATAAAATTCCACCAAAGAGAAGTCAGAGTTGTTCCTTTAAGCTTTACAACTAGGAATTCTCTTCTCCTCTTTGCTGCTTTAAATGCTACTGGACATCTTTTCCAAAATTGAACATCTTTATCCACATTAAAAATCTGCTGCCATAGGAAGTGAAGTCTCTTTCCCTCTGTGGTCCATGTATGTGTCATAAGAAACTCCTTGTAACACATACTCCAACATGCTAACCTGATAATTTGGAAATTAAATAGTCATGAACTCATAGATCTAACATGTCCAAATATTAAACAATTCATTTAAACATACATACAGTATTTGTCATTTTCCCTTTTATTTTCTATTTTTCATCAAAATCTTTTGCATTTTCTTTTCTTTCATTCTTTTTAATTTTTTAAATTGGTTTTACCTCTTTTTTACTCATTGTACATGGTAGGGTTTTGCCTGTAAACATTTCATAAGCACAGCAAACTCTCTAGAGAAAAATTCCATAACCAAGACTTAAAATACCTAATTAAGGTTCACATGTATTTGCTCTGAAGTGTACCCATATTCACATCTATGAGAATTTCTAAGTTTTACAGACATGAATTCATAGCCACATTATTTTAAATAACGTCTATTAAATGAGGACCCTTTTTGTTTCTATCTTTTTACTTAGTTTTCCATTGATTATAAAAGTAATACAAATTCACAGTAGAAAATCTATTAAGTACAGAAATATGTGATACAGTTGAAAAAAGTCATTTATAAATTAGAGAAGGAAATGGACTGGTCTAATTGCCTCCATGAACTACTACTTCCTTTACCATGAGACCAGAAGAAATGGATGGTGCCCAGTTACCATTACTGAACATTTTAATCAAGCACCAATAGACAGATCCTGATCAAAAGGAGGAAAATTGTGGAACAGATCTTCAAATCCTTATGAAACCAGACTTAATGGATCCATTGAGATGGAGGGAACTCCTGAATCTTTATTGCTTGGAAACAATTGTTAAACCTTATATTGAAACTATCCCATAAAGCCATCTGTAAACTAAACAATGTTGTTGTTGTT